TGATGCGCGTGCGCGCTTAATAAAAGCCCCTAGATTTTGGACAAAAATATTGTTTTTTCTATTTAAACAAAAATGCAAAGGTGCATTTTATGAAATTGATTTATTCGAATGGAGCAAACCGGGAGCATTATTTTGAGACCTTATTTATTGCAAAATATCACTTTGGCAAAAAGTTATGACGTTTTTCGACAAAAAGTCCCTAGATTTATCACAAAAACGTTTCTTTTAAATTACAAAAGAAACTATTAAAATCCAATTGATAACATTTATTGCTTCGAACGGAGCAAATTTGGAGCAAAATTTTGAGACCTCATTTGTTCAAAAATATCAATTAGATCATAAGTTATGGACGTTTTTCGTAAAAAATCGTTTTTTGGATTTTTTAAAAAAGGGGAGCAATTTTTTATCAATATGAACGGAGCAAATCGGGAGCATTATTTTGAGCTATTGATCGTTCAGAAATTTTCATCTTACGGGCTAACTTCACGAGGGTATTCACAAATGCCAAAGGGAACGGCTTTGCTGACAATCGTATGAGCGCTTAAGAGGATACTTAAGCCGTCTGTTTTATCGACAAAAATACCATATTTGTTGGTTACTAATTACTTCGTATTAATCGCATAGAATAAAATTTCCTTTTCTACGATTAAAACCAAGGTATAGAGGAGCCAGCTAAGAATGCGTGAGCACATAAAAAGAGACAGAAAACGAGTCGCCCATCTGCATCCTTGTTCAATTGCGCATGCGAGAAAAAGATAAAAGATGGATGTACCCTTCGCTCTTCCATTTTCTTTCTCTTTCTATCAGCTCACGGTTCCAGTCAAAGGCGTCGCCAGGTCTCCCCTACTCTATGTATATAAACTCTTTGATTAAAACACACATGCTAATGTATCTGGCTCTGGTGCATTTTGTACCAAAACGGGAAAAAATGAAATAATTACAGATTTCGTTATCCATTTTAACCTCAACATGGCGACTAATGCTATCAATTTACCAAAACGTTTACTTCGTGGAAAAGTTAGGCAGGTTATATGCTCGAAATGAAGGCAGAGCCAGATGTACAATAAAGAAATGAGTATATGTGAGTTGTTAGAATTAAGTATAGAAGCCTAAATAAAGATATATTGGTAACCGACAAATTTGTGTATATGTATGCGTGAGATATATTGATGTGGTAATAAACATAACACATCACTACACACTACTACATCAATATCGCACGCATACATACTCACAAATTGTCGGTAAAACAGTGGATTTTTGGAGTTTGATCTAGGGTTTAGGATCCTTTTAAATTTCAAAAGGAACGCAGAAAATAGCGCTTATAAGCGTGAGCGCTTACAGCGCATGAGCGTGCAAAAGGAACCCACCCAAAATATATAATGATAGAGAATTTTCTTGTCGAAACTCTATTCTGCTCTAGATATTCGTGCATCACGACTGTTGGGCTGATTTGAACAGAAAATGAAAGTGTGATCGTTTGTTGGCAAAATTTTTGTTCTGACTTTTTAAAAAGTACTCATTGTGTTTGATTTTATGTATTCGCAATTTCATTATAATTATACAAATAATGCACAATATGAGATTTTTTTATTTTAAATTTAAACTGATATTACGAAGTTACGTAGTTTGCGTTTGCTTCAAGAGATGTCTCTATAGTCTCTTTTTAATTTTTAACGAGCATTGTGTAAATGAAAATAATAAAATTGAATAACCATTATGTGATCTATAGAGACAAAAAAGGAAAAATTTTGAAGTCAAAATAGAGATATTTTTTGTTTCTTTTATGTGAACAAAAAAAAACTTTGGTAAATGGCGCTTAAAAATAACACGTTTTGGATCAGATCTTGTTATTATTTGTTCCCCTTTATTACGTCAGTTTTATCAAAAGGATTTCGTAATTGTCTTAACATTAATTATAATATATTAAAATATTTCATATGATTAAATCTATATATGCTCATATATATGTCCGTATTGTAATGTTATCAACCATCGGCGATGTCAAGATTCTGTGATTATTCAGGCTCACTTGATAAATTGCGCGCGCGATATATTGTATGTATACATACATACATACGTGCAGTCAATGTGATTTAATATTATATAGTTAAATGTATACGTAATTTTTTTGATATTTTGATATCCTTAGTTGATTTGTCAACAATTTTATACATATTTTATATCTAATTGTTAATAGATAAAAAAGAAAAAGAAATCTTGAAGAATTTTAATTAGAATTATTAAATAAAACCTTTAAAAGATGTCTTTAAAAAAAAAACATCTTTTACATGTGTGTGTTTAGGCTGCTTCGTTGCGGATTCCGTGTAACATTTCGTCGACGACGCTCGTACGGTCGATAGTACGAGCAGTCACGGTCCCCGTTATGCATTGTGAAAGGTAGAGGCTGCAGGCTTTATTAGCAACGCACTGCCCAACCGGATGATTACACAACAATTACTAATACTCTTATATATATAAAATTATTTACATGCGATGTTTGACGTATGTAACTGTACCCCGAATAATTTAATACGAACGAAACTCGAGAGACTCTATAAGAGTCGCAACCCTTGATTTTAGAAACAAATATTTTTCTTATGTATTTTCGCTAAAAAATTCAAAGTTTCTATTA